TCTCCCAATTCCCAGAACCCACCACGGCAGCCTCACCTACCGATCACTCATGCTCATAAGAGGCCCTGGGCTGGAACTTGCAAAAACAGCTGCTTTGAACCAACCCTGTCTCCTCTTAGCTTCGGATCCCTCCCACCTCCAGCTGACACACGTTTGCAAGAAGAATAAACTGACCCTAAGTTGACCAAACAACATAACTTCTGAGAATCAGGATGGCCAGGGTGGTCAATTCTACTCAGATCCCAAAGCCAGGTGACCTTGGCCAGAATCTCAGAGATGCTTATTAGACTCCCGTGTCTCAATTTCTTCCTACATAATGATGGAACCCACCTCATACAGGTGGATGATTAAATGATATTAAGCATTCCTACCACTGAGTTTGCTTCATCCAGTCATTTCATATAAATGGAATCAAGCAACACGAAGCCGTGTGACTGACTTCTTTTCATTTAGCATGACGTTTTCGAGGTTCATCCGTGTTGTGGCATGTATCAATACTCAATTCCTTTTTTATGGCTAACGTTCGATTTTATGGCTCTTCCACATTTTGTTTATCCATTCACCCACACGGATCAACATTCAGGCCATTTCTGCTTCTTGGTTCTCATCAAGTTCAAAGCCTGACCTGATTTCTAGCCCTTAACTCTCTGCTTGTTCTGACACTCACAGCTGGAGGGCTAAGCAGAGGCCCCCCAAGCAGTTCCCTGGGTTCCCGCCTGCCTCGGGCAGCTCAGCCTCCCATTTCCCAAGGTCTTCATCAAGCTGACTCTCCATACCTGACCTCAGGTCAACAACTCCCACCCAAATCCCACCTTCCTGGATGGAGGAGCCGGCAGAAAGGGTACCAGCCTGACAGAAAGGGTACCAGCCTGGCTCAACCCACCCTGACGCTGGCTGGTGTTTGCACTTTTTTGGGAGAACTAACATTTTGACAACTTTGAGTGTGGCCTTTTTTAGTTTGGGATAGGGCCTCACTATAAAGCCACTTTTTATGTGGCTTTGTTCTTCTCTGAGCACTCCCAACAGGCCACCACTGATTCAAAGAGATCATTTGCAGTATCTCACCTCACCCAACACCCAGCGACATCCTGCCCCTTTCACAGAGGAGAACTAGGCTGGGGCTCCCCACCTTAGTAACTCTTCCTCCTCCTGTCCTGCCCACCAACACCTCAGCGTCATTCAAGGGTTCATGCGTATGTCCCCACAGTCACCCCCCCCATTCCCTAGCTGAACAAAGGCCTAAAACAGAACAGCCCACACTGACCCAGGTTGCAAGTTTTATATACACTCATTTTTTTTTTCAATGTAAAAAGGGAAATGCTAAGAGGCCACCAGATGTGACATCTGAGGTCACCCCAGTACACACCTGCCAGCACTGAGCGCAGAGCTTCTCCCATAGGTTCTTCTGTAGGCCCTCAGTTCTAGAGTGCTTCCTCTAAGTTCCCCTGATGAGTGGCACACCGATGCCCAGGCTTGGGGCCACTGGAGCAATTAGCCAAAGGCCCAAGTAGAGCCCCAAAGGAGGTAGGGACAGCGAGAAGTCAGCTGGGGGCAGGAGGCCAGGCCCCCACTGAAAGGTGGGGGAAGCGCAGGAGCTGGACAGCTAGCTCCCCACGCCTGGCTCTACCTCCCACTCAAAGGCTGCCCTTCCTTCCTCGGGTTTTCTTTATTCCATTTCCGGGGAAGGCCCGGAGCCCGGGCCAGGGTGGGGTGGCGTCAGCTCACGTGGGTCCTGCGTGCCCATCCTGCACATCTCCGCCCAGCTCGGCCTTCAATGACTTCACCTGGAGCAGCCAGAAAGTGGCCACCAGCAGAACGTTTTTACCGAGGAAGGCACACCTGTTACCAATCAGCCCACGTGTGGCACATTTACCTGGCCCCCGGCCCGCTGCAAGGGATTGTGGGCCAAGTTGATTGTCAGAGGTGGAAGGGGAAGCAGCATTTGATTCTGCAAACCGAAAAAATCTGGCAGGAGAAGAGGGTCATTCCCAGCATGGAGAGCCAGGCCTCAAGGGCCCCGGAGCCAGGGGAGGATCGACCCAGATCTGCTGGCTCCAGACCAGTGCTCCTCCCACTGAACCAAGTGGCCTCCACAAGGACAATTTGAAACTCAAGAACTTCCCTTGAGTTGATGGAGGGCTAGGGGTCCCTCTTGGAGCCATGGTGTTGGGGTCTCTACAACCAATAAGTAGGTGTGTGCCAGGGGGAGCCTTGGACACAACACCCTTTATGAGTGGGGGTCCGTCCCTCCCTTCTGGCATCCTCAGCCTCAGGCCTCCCACAGCACTGTGTCCCTCACCACCCTGCCCATGACGGCTCACCTGCTAGCTCAGGGGGCAGGTAAAGAACATTCCCTGAGCAAGCTGGCCCTTTGGCAGGGGGAGGGGGGTTCAGGGTGAGGTTATGTCCATCAGCTTTTCGAACAAATTCTTGGCTTATTAATTCTCTCTTCTATTACACAGACAAAAGTAAATAAGCCTTTCTCAGGCAGCCTCTCCCGGGGGCCTTCCTTCCCTGCTCAGACAGAGCAAGAGCCGACAGGTTTGGAAGCACTGAGCTCCCAGGCCCCGCTTTCCAGGAGGCCTTCTTGGCCTCCAGCCCGAAGTATCTGGGCTCACTGGGACAAGGCTGGACCAGCTTCTCTGCATAGGAGGACCCACAGGCCAGCATTTGGGTTCTGGGGTTGGCTCATGCTCTCCCAGGGCAGGTCAGCAAAGGTCAAGCCAAAGCTCCAAGCTCCAAACATGTTCTTCCCTGCTCCTTTTAGAGGAATGTTTATTTACTGCTTGCTTCAGTTAAAATCATATTGATAAACCTTCAGAAAGAACAAAAGCAATGAACAGTCACAAAATCAAAAGAAGTCAGAAGCTGGGTGTGGAGGCACCCACCTATAATCCCAGCAACTCAGGAGGCTGAGGCAGGAGGATTGCAAGTTCCACGCCAGCTGGGAAACTTAGCAAGGCCCTACCTCAAAATAAAATACAAGGGCTGGGGATGTAGCTCAGTGATAAAACACCCCTGGGTTCAACCCACCCATCTAAAAATAAAAGTCAGAAAAATTGAATAACCAACAGAGAACTGTTATGGAAGACATTCTCAAGAGGATTCTACTGATGTTTAGAAGTGCTGTTCACAGCCAGGTATCGGGACACACACTGGTAATCTCAGGGACTCAGGAGGTTGAGGCAGGAGGATTGCAAATTGGAGGCCAGCCTGGGCAACTTAGTGAGGTCCTATCCCAAAATAAAAAGGCCTGAGGATTTGGCTCAGTCGTGGAGTGCCTGCCTAGCCTGCATAAGGCTCTGGGTTTAATCTCCAGCCCTTCCCTACCCCGCCAGGAATCTCACAGAACTGAGAACCTTGGATACCAGCTTTTATCTCTGTGCTACACCCAGACTTTATACCATTTCTAACAGCCTGTGTGGACATCTCAGGAGATATTTTTCCTCCTTCCCCTCACCTATCTCATTTTCCCATTTCTGATTTGGAAGAAAAAGCTGAGAATTGTTGCAAAAAGCTCTAAGAAGTCAAATTGTAAGGTCTGGGAAAATGGGAGGAGACAGAGAGATCATTCAGATCTGTCCTGCCCTGGGGTGAGCTGTGGACACAGCCCCTTCATGGCCCCCACAGCCCAAGAGCTTATCCATGTTGAGTCTCACTCAGGTACATCACTCTCACTTATGATTGGCCAAATGATTGCCAAGTCATGGTGGTATCAAGAATCAAGATTCTGGGGCTGGAGATGTGGCTCAGTGGTTGAGCATTTGCCTGGCAACTGTGAGACCCGGTGTTCAATCCTCAGCACCGCAAAAAATAAAATAAAAATTCATTTAAGATAACAACATGGGTATGCAAGTTCCCCCACACCTTCTTGTAGTCCTATCCCAGGGGTATCCTTGCTGGGGACTCTTCCCCTCCACCTCCAAGTATACCAGTGCAGAGAAGTTGTGGTGACCGAGGACCAGGACTCTGGTCCCACGTACTGAAGGGCCTTATGTGTGCCCACAGCCAGGGCTGAAATACCTTTCTTGTGCCACAGAACCCTGTGGATCCTATCTCAGAGTAGTATTTTTTCCATGCTAAAGTAAAATACAGAGAGTTGCGACTTAGTGACCGTTCAGCTTAACGATTTTCAACTTTATGATGGTGCAAAAGTAATGTGTATTCATAGAAACCACACTTTGGATTTTAAATTTGGATCTTTTCCAGGACTACACCGTCAGACCCTTGTGACACTGGGCTGCAGCAGTGAGCTCCCTGTCAGCCTCCCGTCTTCAGGGGAGACGAACGCTCCACAGCAGGTTCTGTGGCTGAGCTACGTGTTCACCGGGTTAAGAGGATTCGGTGCATTTTTAACTTACGATATTTTCAACTTCCAATGGGGTTTTCATGACATAATCCCATCCTGCATCAGGAAACGTCCGTACATAGGAAATTGACATCACTGAGTACAGCTGCCCAGATACCTTAAAAACCCCCAATCCAAGGTACAGGTACATTATGCACATCTAGGTGTGGGTCTAGTCACTTCTGTAATTTGGAAGCAACCACGCACACACAGACAAGATTCCACATATCTGCAATCAACAATAATACCATGTGAACACTGTTGTGCTTTCTGTGCATGGCCTCGTCACAGGCACTGTCAATGAGCTGTGGTCGGAGGCCCGCCTCCATCATGGAGGAAAGGCAAACTCTTGAGTGAGAGGTGGAAGAAAGTGAAGATGTGACTCTCTTCCCGTCTGGGCTCACAGGTGCCCTGAATTCTGTGTGTGGACGCTGTGTCCAGGAACTGCCTCAGCCCTTGCTCCTCGGCAGCCCTGGAAGGAGTAGCTCCTATGCTGTTGGGTTGACCAGCCTCACCTCGGTAGGCCAATAGAAGGAGCTCAATTTTTAGGGTTCTGACCCGGCTGGGGGTTACAGAGGCATCTGGGCCTTCTAATATCCCCCTCCCCACTTCCTGTCCCACCAGAGAGCAAAAGTGACCAATAGAAACTTACCTTCAGGCTCCTCCACACTGCTGGCTGCGGTGGTTGGCGGTGCTACGGGAATCTCTTTTTGAGGTTCAGGATGGAGAGGAGGAGAAAACAAGGTAAGAAGATATTATTTTTGAGCTTGGAAAGAGAATGAGCTGAGCACAGCCTCCTCCCAAGCTCCCTGGAACTATTCGTCCCTTGCCCGAATCCACAGTTCCAGAAAAGGGAAAAGGAGCGAGCCTGCAGAGGGGCCCCCGGGGGGTCCTGGGCACATCGTCCTGTTCTCTTTTCCCTTCACCTGGCACGGATGTCATGGCTACTGGTTGTCAAGGAGGGACAGGAGTGGGGAGAAGCACAAGGGAACTGGTGGCATGGGAGGCTGGCCCTGCACCCAGGGCCTGACCTGTCAGTCCTCCTCAGGTCTGCTGTATGTCATCAACTTCGATCAGCCCCACGGGAATACCCAGGCTTGGGGAGCAGGAGTCACCTGGAGGAGGCAGGGTTTGCTCCTTGAAAAATGGGTGGAGGACAACCTCGGTGTGGAGCCAGATCTTGCTCTCTGTGACCTTATTAGCAACCACTACAGCAGCGAATTAGGAACTTGGGACCTTGGACCAGGCCATTTCTGAGCCCTATAAAGCTAGATGGTCCCAGCAGAAATCTTCCGGAGGCACCATCTCCATAGTCCAGTCTAATCTCGCTAGTCCCTGAATTAGGCTGGGGCGATGGCCACAGAGCCACACTGGCCACCCAACCTCTGTGTCAGGTGCTCATGGACATCCCAGGATGAAACCCTGCGGCTGCGGATGTAGGTGGGCATGCTCTTGGTCCAAGTCTGATACACCAGCTCCTGTGAGCTTGGTCTTTCCGCTAGGGGATCTAAAATATGGGTTCCAGTCCTTCCTGAACGTCCAGAGAGTCCCTGAATCCCTTTAAAAGGGAGTTCAAAGGTTGGGGGTGTAGCTCAGTGGCAGAACCCTTGCCTAGTACATGTGGGGGTTCCATCTCCAGCACTGAAATAAAAAAAGGGGAGACCTCATTTCTGCTCCCCACCTCCACGTTTTCATAACCCCAGATTTCCTCCTGCCTTTCTAAAAATTTTATTTGGTTTAGAAACTGGTCAGAACTGTGGACGGGACCAACACAGCTGGCCTGTCCCAGAAGCAAAGGGCCCCATCTAATTGGGACAGGTGATGTGTACAGTGTCTAAGGTTCCCACCTGCTGGAGGAGGGGTTGTCTGTGAGGTCTACGGGAAATGCTCAAGGACACCCTGGTGGCTGCTGGTGTCAGGGGGTCCCCAGCACCCAGACTTGTGAGACCCCCAACTCTCAAGTTGTTCCAAGTCCCTCGTGACTGACCATCGTCATCACCAGAGCCTACCCAGAGCTAAGACACAATGGGATCTGAAATACAGGTTGGCTGTCCTCCCCTGAAATGGGCCAGGTAGTAAATACCGTGGGCCTGCAGGTCTCTGCTACAGCAATTCAACTCCACCGTGAATAGCAGCCGCAGTCGGCATGTAAACGAGGGGTGCGGCTTTATTCCAATAAAACTTTATTTATGGACCCTGAGCTTTGAATTTCACGTGGTTTTTTTATATATATATATATCATGAAACATTATTCTTCATTTGATTTTTCTTTGACCATTAAAAAAGGTACAAACCAGTAAGCCAGGCCATACAAAAGCAAGCAGCAGCCAGCTCCCCGGGCCCAGAGCTTGCCAACCTCTCTCTCCAGAGAACCAAACTCTGCTCCTGGGACTCGGCCTCGTTCGCTGGGATCCGCTCCCTTTCCTGCCCTCCTTTCTTGGCTTGGTCAGCCTTCCCCAGGGAATCATCAGGCTGAGGAAGAGGCTGAGGTTGAGCCAGCTCCCAATTAGGCTTGGCTCTCCAACCAGGGCTAATTCCCTGCTTGTCGTGCCAGCGTGACCCTAGCAGATGTAAAATACTGAAACCCTCTGAGCCAAGGCTTCTGAGTGACCCCTGCCATCCTGCTCACACCCCTCTTCATGCTCTAGCAACTCAAAGGCTGAAAACTTGAGGCCCCATGGGATCCCTGGGACCCCTCAAAAGTGCTATGATCCTTCATAAGGACTATGGGTGCCGTGCCCAGAGGCTGTGACTAACTCTCTCAACGGCCCTGGGATTTAAGTCCTTTTTGTACTGAATGCACTGAGGCAGGGGAATATTGGGGTGTCTGTAGTCAGAAGCCCCCCCACCAGGTCTGGGGTCAAGGCGGGATGTGGAAATGGGACCCGTGCTGGAGAGTGGGGCTTGTTTCTCAGGAGCCAGAGACTTGTGTGTGTGTCAGGACAGAAGGCCATGGACAGGCTGGCTCTGCAGAGCCAAGCTCGGGGTCTCCCACAGGGTCTCAGTGAGCCCTCGGCATTGAATGCAGAGATACTCATCACTGATAGCAGTGATCAGCAAACCCACAGGGACCCCCCTCCTAAGCCAAGGATGGGAGAAAGAGGAGCTGGCACGTACTGATGCAGGGTGCAATGGGAGAGCGGCTCTGCTGGTAGCCCTTGGCACAGCGGTTGCAGGTGATGCCCGTCACACCATCCTTGCAGGGACACTGGCCAGTGGTTTGGTTGCAGGTCTTGCCAGCGGCGCCCACGGGGTGGCAATCACAAGCTGTGAAGGACACACAAGAAGAAAGTCAGAGGGGTCCCTCCCTACCCAGGAGCACCCCCTGGACCCCACTCCAGGGGAACATCGGGGGTGGGAGGCAGGCCCGGCCAAGCCCACACCTGGTCCAGAAGCTCTGGGACTGGTTGGCTGCCAACCAGGAAATAAGGAATGAAAATCAGAGTGAACCTCCCTAAAAGGGCTGTTTTGGCAATAGCAGAGGGAAGCTGGGGAGTCCTTCTGAAACTGCAGGAAGAAAGACTATATTAAATACGTTTTCAAGGGCTGGGGGCTGTAGCTAGCTCAGTAGTACAGTGGGTGCTTGGTATGCACAAGGCCTTTGGTCCGATCCCCACCAAAAAATAAATAAATACATAAATATGTCTTCAGGAAGGAAGAGCCCCCACAGCCCCAGTCATGAATGGATGGGGGAGTTAGAATTTCGAGGTACACCTTCCCTTGACAGAGTAAGTTCATGCATTTTTACTCTCTGCCCTCAACCGCTCTTGGCTCCCAGGCTTCTTTGCAGACCCTCTGGGTAAACAAGTGGGGTCTGGGGCTCATAAAGCACTAGAGTCGGTAGATCAGAGGGGAGGCCCAGGGAGGAAGCTTCTAGGCTGCTCTTCCTGCCTCCTTGGTAGCCAGGCATTCACAGCTTGGGCTTCTAGATCACAAAACTCACAAACTGCAACACTAGAAAGGGTCACGATGATAATGTGATGTAGAACCCTGATTAAATGTGCAAAGACTGGAGGTACAGGAACCTCCTGGGGCCTCACAGGAAGGCCATAGCCAAGCTGGGAGAAGATGTAAGGCCCCTGATTTTCGGGCCAGGGGTTATGGCATGGGAGAGCAGGCCCCACGCCCCTCCTCCTGATTCCAAAGGGGTGGAGGGTTGTACCCTCTCCTGCCACATCTGAGGCTCCCTTGCTGTGTTCTACAGACCCATTTTCAGTAATGAAGAAGCCAGAGGACTTTCCAGGGGGACATCTCCACCAACGCCATGATGCTCTGGGTAAAGACAGTTTGTCCAGCAGGCAGGGGACATCTACCTGACCAAGACAGTGGACTGAAGGTGGACAGGGAGGAGAAGAGAAGGTGAAGGAGGCAGATGTTCTGCCTGTCCCCTTGCCCTGAGGAAGCCCCGAGAGGGTGGTGGGTGGCCTGTGGCAAGGCATCCTCCAGCCACTTCAACGGTGCCACAAGCTGCTGTGTGCTTCTGTCCCCAAGGGAATAAATATATCCAGGAAAATAAGTGAGAACAGAGATCCTTCAAGAGCTAAAGGGGACGTCTCCAGGGATCCCAGCTCAGTGTGAGGGCGCGAGTCTGCAGATGAAAACACAGCCTCTCCCAGGGGCCTCGGCCCAGGAGTGGTCAGTGGGGCGAATTAGTGGTCAGTGGGGGAGGGAAGAAGGAAGCCGAGGAAGCAGAAAGGAGAAGGTAAGGCACTCGTTACTGCAGTTGTTTTCAGATATGGAAAAGCTTCCAGAAGCACCGGGGTGAGGGAGCTGACAGGGTGCCCCGGTCAAGACAGAGGAGGGCAAAGGCCTGAAGGACGGTGGACCTGCTGGCTCCTCACAGCACAGGATCCACGGGAGGTGCTGGGACCAGTCCCATCTCATCAGGACATTGTCTTCTGACATCAACCCTAAATTCAAATTCATACTCTATTATTTGTTTTTAATTAAGTTATATAAAAAAAAGACCCAGATTAACAAACGGCCCATGGGGGCATGGTGACCATGATGCTGGTGGGGAAGGGCTGGTGGGAGGGGGCCTTTGACTTTCCCTACAGCCTCTTAAGTCCATCCCCATGAAGGATGGGGTGACTGCATGGGCTCATTTCTAAGTTGGCCATGTGAATGTTGGGGGGCCATAGCACATGGTCCCCTAATCTCAAACCCCTGATGTGGGCGTGGGCACCTGGCAGACGGGGACTACAGGGGCTCATGCCAGCTGACCTCCCTTGGCCCGCTCCACGAGGCTGCTGGTAATCCTCAAATTCACGCCAAGACCTATTCCGCTCGGTGCTGATGGAATACAGCTGTGTGCCAGTACATTTTAGATCCTCGAACTTGGCCCAAGAAAGGTCACAAAAGGTTGCTCTATTGCTGAAGAGCCAAGTCACACACGGGCACCACCATGGCCCGGGTCATCTCTGTCTTGGTGGAAGCTGGATGGAGGCCACAGAGGACCGTGCCCTGTTCTCATCCGTGGCCTCGCACAGCTGGTGGCCTGCCCTGCTGCCTGGAAGGGACCAGGCACCAGCTGAGGTCTGCTGCAGCCCGGGGCCATCCTCAGCAGAGGCAGGCGGCTCTGTGTCTGCTCTGGGCAGCCGGCACTTCCCAACGGTCCGTTGTTTGATGAAACACGAGCTGATGCTGGCTGCTGGCTTTCCAGATCTTTCTCCCTCCCAAGATTCTGCAAAGACTCTGTCTGGTCTGAGACAGCAGGCTGGTTATGCTTCCACACCCATATCATTGTTCTAGGAGGAGAAGTCATGAGGGTCCCTAAGGCCACTCAAATTGGGTCCAGGTCAGCATAGAAGTGAGGTAAATGGAGATCTTTTCCTCTATCACCAGGCTTCATTCTGTCCATGACAGAACATCCCTCCCTCCAGCAATAGCACCCCACTGGGGCTCCTGCAGCCCACCACTGAACATCCATGCTCTCACACACCCTGTCTCCTCAGGTCCCTACAACAGCTCTGTGAAACTGGCACGGCTGTACAGCGAGGAGACCACAGGCTGTCGAGGAAGTCACAGGAGACACAAGGCTGTGCAGAGATGGAAATGGCCTGGATCTCTGAGGGGACACCACTCAGGCACCTTACCCTCTCTGGATGTCCCCTCTGCACTTCTTGTTCTTCCAGGAGAAATAAGCTCTGATCTATTTCATCCAATAGGAGCGGGCTTTCTGTTACTTGCAACCAAATGCAATCCTAATAGAGACCTGTATTGCTCTCTGGTCGAATTTGTCGCCCCAAAGCCAAACACACTTTCCCAAAATGCCCAGGAATCGGGATGGCCCAAATTGCACCCTCTGTGCAAAGAAGGGTGATTTTTCAAAGTATGGGGAGAGTGGACAGATGACAATGTCCCCATGGTGTGTTCTTCTATAGCTGGGAAAAGAGACATCTGACCATCAATGTCAAAGGAAGAGATTCTGAGCCCAGTGGAGCCCCAGGACTTGGCCTTAGGAAGAGAGTCGAAGCATTCTTGTTGTGGTCTCTCCTCCTAGAAATGGAAACACACACACACACACACACACACATATCTCAGACACAAACACACAGATTCCTACAAGCTCACCCACAGATACACACACAGAGCCTCAAGAGGGCAGAAGGCAGAGGGCAGAGGGGTGGAGTGAACAGGGGGGGAAAAGGAAGTGAGGTAAATGGAGATCTTTTCCTCTGTAGGGAGCTCTGGTGAGGAGGATAAATAGAGAGCATTGCTGATTCTTCTGAGAACAAGGTACAGGTCACAACACCGCCTGCCACAGGAAGCTCATCTGGGGACTCTCATTTCCCTAGAAGTTGGCCACTTTTTTCCAGGAGGAAGTCAATCCTTTCCATAGCAGGTCACCCCGTCTCCATGGGGCAGGCAGCACCTGGTCATGGGAAATGATCTACCAGAGGGTTGTTTTTTTTTTTTTTCCATAATGAGAAAGGTGAGCCCAGAAGGAAGCCCAGGTTCCTGAGAACTTGGTGGGATCGGATTTCCCACAAACTCGACCGGCTGCAGAGCCTCCCAGTGAAGCTGAGAAGCTGAGAACCCAGGCTGTCCTTGCTCGGAGTCATCAGACAGGGACACACAATTTGGGGACCTAAATGGTTTCAGATGGGCAACAGGTGACCCAGGCCTACTCCTGCCCTGCCAGTTACCCTGGGTTAGTGCCTCCTGGATCCTCAAAGCTCCATCAGATAGAGATTCCCTTAGGTCCTCAGAGTTCAAAGTCCATTGTGGACTCCCATCAGGAGATCTGGCTATTTTTACTGAGGATCCTGGCCCCAGGGGCTCTTGGGATCAGGCTGGACCCTCCTATGGCAGCAATATAGTGCATCCTTTTGGAGGAGAAAGGAGCAGGCTCAGCACCAGTCCCTCTGGAGCTGGGGAGACAAACCGACTCCTCGGACATCATTCCAGGCCTCCAGCCAGTCCTGCAAGACAGCTTTTGGCCAGTATCATGTTAGAGGCTGAATCCACACCCCATCCCCCAGAAGCTGAAGTCCTAACCCCTCTTACCTATGAATGGGATATGCTTGCACACAGGGCTGCTAGGGTTTGGATTTAGAACGTCCCCCAACAAATCATGTGTGTCGGGTGGGGAGAGAGTGGTCATGAGGGCTCTGATCTCAGTGGATTAATCCATTGGTAGCAGAAAGGCCCACCAGCAGGTAGGACCCAGTTGGAGGAAGCAGGCCACGGAGGGCGTGCCCTGGAAGAGTACCTCTTCTCTCCAGTGCTCCCTCCCACCCCCAACACCTCTCTCTCTCTGCTTCTGAGTTACCGGGAGCTGAGCAGCTGTCCTCTGCCACCCCTTCTGCCATGATGCTAGGCCTTACCTCTGGCCCAAAGCAGTGGAGCTGACCAACCATGGACTAACTCCTCAAACTGTGAGCCCAAATAAATCTTTCCTCCTTTAAATTGCTCTTGTTGTATAGTTTGGTCACAGGGATGGAAAGCTGACCAGCCCAGGGTCTTTAGAAAGATAATCAAGACCATGAGAATGGGCCCTCATCAAACATGACTGGTGTCCTCAAAACAGAGGGTGTTGGGGGTCTGTGGTTGTGGCTCAGAGGTAGAGCATTCGCCTGGCACGTGTGAGGCACTGGGTTCGATCCTCAGCACCGCATAAAAATAAAATGAAGATATTGTGTCCACCTAAAACTAAAGTAAATGAATAAATATTTTTTTAAAAGAGGGTGTTGGGATACAGATCCAGAGGAAGGAAGAAGATGGCCATCTACGAGCCACAGAGAGAAGCCTGGGGCAGATATCCT